TCGCAAATGACGGAGGTGAAAAGAAGGTTCATGGGACTCAGTGTACAAACTCGGTACTGGTGAAGTGCGAAAAGCACCGGTGCAGAGCCGAAGCCCCAGATGGTGGATGGGATCCAGCATCTTCAGGGCCGAGGTCCTGGCGGAACCATAGACCCATTGTCCAGTTTGGATTGAATCAGAGCACGATACATCCTGAGCATAGAACATCGATCTGCTCCCCAAGAGCTGGAAGAAAGGACACGAAGGATGTTCAGAGCCCTTGCACACTTGACACGTAGCTGCTTGATGTGAGGAATGAAGCTAAGCTTACGGTCAAAGATAAGCCCCAAGAACTTTGCCTCAGGGACCACACGAATAACTATATCGCCGAGATGGAGCTCGGGATCGGGGTAGATACTCCGTTGGCGGCAAAAATGCATGCAAACGGTTTTGGAAAAAGAAAATTTAAAACCATTTGCAGTGGTCCATTTTAACAACCGATTGAGGGCAGTCTGAAGCTGCCGCTCAATAAACCTCATGTTCAATGACTGACACGAGATGTGGAAGTCGTCGACATAGAGCACATTTGCAACAGTCGGAGGAAGATTACTAGTGATGGCATTAATTTTAACACTAAAAAGTGTGACACTCAAGACACAGCCCTGAGAAACTCCAAGTTCCTGTGGAAAGGAATGGGAAAGAGTTGAACCCCCATGGACTTGGAATCGCCTGTTCTGTAAAAATTTGTGAATAAAAATGGGTAAATAACCACGCAACCCATAGGAGTGGAGGTCCTGCAAAATTCCATACCTCCACGTAGTGTCATAAGCCTTCTTGAGATCAAGGAACACAGAAACAAGGTGTTCTCTCTTGAGAAAGGCTTCTCTGATCGACATTTCAAGTTGAATTAGATGGTCCATGGTGGAGCGCTGTCGATGGAACCCACACTGGGTGGGCGAGAGGAGCATGTTTGATTCCAGGAACCAAACAAGATGAGCATTAACCATCCTCTCTAGAACCTTACAAAGACAACTAGTCAAAGCGATAATTAGAAGGAATCTTGGGATCCTTCTCAGGTTTAGAAAAAGGGAGGACAATAGCCTGGCACCAAGCATCTGGAAAAATATGCTCCTGCCAGATCTGATTAAAAATAACCAGAAGAATAGCAAGAGAGGCAGGAGAGAGTTGGCGCAACATCTCATAATGAACATCATCGGGTCCGACCGATGTACTACCAAACCAATGAACAGCAAGTTTGAGTTCCACCACTGTAAAGGGGCGATTATAATCATAGAGACGATTGGCCCGAAATTGAAGAGGCGATCGCTCTGCCCGAGACTTTATGGCCAAGAAGGCAGGGGAAGAAACAGAAGTGCTAGAAGCACAAGAAAAGCTCTGACCGAGAGCATAAGCAATGCTCTGGAAATCAGCAACTTCCTGGCCATTGGAGAGCAAGATGGAAAGGGGATGGGAAGCATACCTCCCAGTGACTTTCCGAATCTTGTCCCATACAGTTTGGAA